TTTTGGTCGACCGGCCAGTTGACCGGTTAGGCAAAATTATTATTTTTTTTTTTTTAACGGTTTGAACTTTTTTTTCCTGAACTGTTTGAATCTTTTACTGGTTGACCGGTTGGTCAACCGGCCGGGCAACCGGTTGGTCGACCGGTGTAGCATTTTCAACGGTCAGTAACAGTGATTTGGTAAAATCTGTGTCTTGATCTCAGTTTGATGTCTTGTTTGCTGAATTCTCATTTTGGTATGACTTTGGTGCAATCGTTGGAGCGTGAAAAAGTGGGTTTTTCATCAAAATTTAAATCTGATGCTGGGTTTGGTTCACCGTTGGAGATGGTCTAAAAACACTAATTTAAATGCACAATAATAAGAAAGGGTCATGAGTCTAATAGATTAAAACTCATCATAAACAGGTTTCTTTTAGTTCAATGCTTTTACATCTTTCATCCATATATCTTAATTTCTTAACTATACAAACAACTATTCCACATTCATATTACTAGGATTCTCAAATTTTTCATTTCTGGGTAAAAGCTACACTCAGTCGATTAGAACTAACTCATCCTATGCTATATGGACTCGGGGTTCGAGTGTCGGGTTCAAGTCTAAGTCTCCAAATTCATCTAATCCCAAGTTCAATACATGGATGGAAAAATATTCATATTTCTTAATATAAATATGTGGCATACAATATTTAGAATATGTTATACTACACAGATATTGACAGTAGCAAGCATCGGATGCACCAATTGCAAGCACTCAACAATATCTAAACAATGTGAGGAGTTCACTTAATGATTACTAGGCTCGTCCACAAATTGTGTTACTCATCTTGTAGTCACAACTGCCATCATTACTTGTGAACCATGCACAAAAGATACCTCAACTATTGCCGAAAGTAAAATTATCACTACAACAAAAAAAAAAAATTTAGTGACAGACAGATTTTATCTCCAAACATCAAATTTTCGTCACTAAAGTGATCTGCAACGAAAAAAATTTGTCACCACGTTGGTGACTTATACGTCGTCGCTGAAAGGTGGTGACGAAAAATAGTTTCGTTGCCTATTTTTGATTTTTGGCGATAAAATGTTTCATCTCCGAATGTTGAATTTTTCGTCCTCTATAATATCAATTTCGTCACCGAAACTAAATAATATTTTATTTTAATTGTTTTTGGCGACGAAACATTTCGTCACCAAATAAATTTTAGTGACGAAAGTTTTCCTCACCAATGATATGGATTAAGGTGACAAAAAAATTCTTCACTAAAATAAGCAGAAAAGAAAATTCTTTAATGACAAAAAACATATTGTCACCAAATATTTTAATTTAGCGATGAAATATTCAGCAAATGTGACGAAATTATTTGTTTGGTACTATATCATTAGTGACAAAATTATTCATCATGTTTTTTGAAAGCTAATAGCAACATTTTTTATTTCGTTACTAATAAAAATTAAAAAATTTGAAAATAGGAACACTATTTTCTTCCAAATTTTTTTCTTTTCAGTAACAATTCCCTGAGCATTTCAATAACCTGTTCAATAAAATATCTATTACAAATCAATACAAAAATCTGTTCATTTTCATAAACATCACAATCAAATTTCAGCACCATCCACAAAAATACAATATGAACTGCATGCGGATTATAAACATGTCTCCTAATATCCACAAAAAACATCTACTAATATCCACAAAAATATAATATCAACCGCATGCAGATTACCAAACACATCTCCTAATATCCAACAAAATACATGTCTACTAATATCAACAAAAATAAAATATCAAGGGCGGATTACCCAACATGCCCTGTAATACAAACAAAAATATAAAATTTACAACGCAACCAAAATATATGTAAGGTAATATGAACAAAAACACAAAATGAGCTACCATTTGCCCTCCAAATTACCAAACATGTCCATATCAAATCTCGAATCTGAAAAAAAATGAAAAAAAAAAAAAAAAAAATACAAGTTAGACAATTATTATCTTATCCATAAAATATACAATTTAACATGCATTTTTTGAATTAGTTTTCAAATCGGGAGTCCGGTGCAAGTTCCGTAAGTTTCCACAACTTACATTGGTACCTTCCGACGTGTTTGAGTGTTCCCCGGGTCATCCCGTGGCTGTTGCACGATTTTGGCCGCCGAATGTCTATTTTCAAGCTTAAGTGTGAAAAAGTACAATTTTGGACTTAGTTTTCAAACTGGGAGTCCCGTGCTAGTTCCATAAGTTTCCACAACTTACATTGGTCCCTCCCGAGGTGTTTGAGGTGTTCCCCCGGCCGTCTCGTGGCTGTTGCACGATTTTGGCCTCCGATGGCCTATTTTCAAGCTTAAGTGCGAAAAAGTGCATTTTTGGACTTAGTTTTCAAACCGGGAGTCCCGTGCTAATTCCGTAAGTTTCCACAACTCACATTGGTCCCCCCCGAGGTGTTTGAGGTGTTCCCCGGGCCGTCTCATGGTTGTTGCACGATTTTGGCCTCCGGTAGCCTATTTTCAAGCGTAATTTTCAACTTAGTTTTCAAACCAGGAGTCCCGTGGTAGTTCCGTAAGTTTTCATAACTCACATTGGTCCCTCCCGAGGTGTTTGAGGTGTTCCCCGGGCTGTACCGTGTCTGTTGCACGATTTTGGCCCCCTAATGTTTATTTTCAAGCTTAAGTGTGAAAAAGTGCATTTTTCGACTTAGTTTTCAAACCGAGAGTCCCGTGATAGTTCTGTAAGTTTCCACAACTCACATTGGTCCCTCCCAAGGTGTTTGAGGTGTTTCCTAAGCCGTCTCGTGGCTGTTGCACGATTTTGGCCTCCGATGGCCTATTTTCAAGCCTAAATGTGAAAAAGTGCAATTTTCGACTTAGTTTTCAAACCGGGAGTCCTGTGCTAGTTCCGAAAGTTTCCACAACTCACATTGGTCCCTCCCGAGGTGTTTGAGGTGTTCCCCAGACCGTCCCGTGGCTGTTGCACGATTTTGGCCTCCGAAGATCTATTTTCAAACTTAAATGTGAAAAAGTGCATTTTTCGACTTAGTTTTCAAACCGAGAGTCCCGTGCTAGTTCCGTAAGTTTCCAAAACTCACATTGGTCCCTCCCGAGGTGTTTGAGGTGTTTCCCGGGCCGTCTCGTGGCTGTTGCACGATTTTGGCCTCCGATGGTCTATTTTCAAGCTTAAGTGTGAAAAAGTGCATTTTTCGACTTAGTTTTCAAACCGGGAGTCCCGTGCGAGTTCCGTAAGTTTCCACAACTCACATTGGTCCCTCCCGAGGTGTTTGAGGTGCTCCCTGGGCCGTTCCGTGGCTGTTGCATGATTTTGGCCTCCGATGGCCTATTTTGAAGCTTAAATGTGAAAAAGTACAATTTTTGACTTAGTTTTCAAACCGGGAGTCTCGTGCTAGTTCGATAAGTTTCCACAACTCACATTGGTCTCTCCCAAGGTGTTTGAGGTGTTCCCCGGGCTGTCTCGTGGCTGTTGCACGATTTTGGCTCCTGAAGGTCTATTTTCAATCTTAAGTGTGAAAAAGTGTATTTTTGGACTTAGTTTTCAAACCGGGAGTCCCGTGCTAGTTCCGTAAGTTTTCACAACTCACATTGGTCCCTCCCGAGGTGTTTGAGGTATTCCCTGGGCCATCTCGTGGCTGTTGCACGATTTTGGCCTCCAATGGCCTATTTTCAAACTTAAGTGTGAAAAAGTTCATTTTTGGACCTAGTTTTCAAACCGGAAGTCCTGTGCTAGTTCCGTAAGTTTCCACAACTCACATTGGTCCATCCCGAGGTGTTTGAGGTGCTCCCCGGGTCGTCCCGTGGCTGTTGCATGATTTTGGCTTCCGATGACCTATTTTCAAGCTTAAGTGTGAAAAAGTGCAATTTTCGACTTAATTTTCAAACCGGGAGTCTCGTGGTAGTTCGATAAGTTTTCACAACTCACATTGGTCTCTCCCGAGGTGCTTGAGGTGTTCCTCCGGCTGTCTCGTGGCTGTTGCACGATTTTGGCCCCCGAAGGTCTATTTTCAAGCTTAAGTGTGAAAAAGTGCATTTTTGGACTTAGTTTTCAAACCGGGAGTCCCGTGCTAGTTCCATAAGTTTTTACAACTCACATTGGTCCCTCCCGAGGTGTTTGAGGTGTTCCCCGGGCCGTCTCGTGGCTATTGCACGATTTTGGCCTCCGATGGCCTATTTTCAAACTTAAGTATGAAAAAGTTCATTTTTGGACTTAGTTTTCGAACTGAAAGTCCTGTGATAGTTCCGTAAGTTTCCACAACTCGCATTGGTTTGGTCCCTCCCGAGGTGTTTGAGGTGTTCCCCGGGCCATCCCATGGCTGTTGCACGATTTTGGCCCCCGAAGGTCTGTTTTCAAATTTAAGTGTGAAAAAGTGCATTTTTGGACTTAGTTTTCAAACCGGGAGTCCCGTGCTAGTTCCGTAAGTTTCCACAGCTCACATTGGTCCCTCCCGAGGTGTTTGAGGTGTTCCCCGGGCCATCTCATGGCTGTTGCACGATTTTGGCCACTAATGGCCTATTTTCAAGTTTAAGTGTGAAAAAGTGCATTTTTCGACTTAGTTTTCGAATCGGGAGTCCCATGCTAGTTCCGTTAGTTTCCACAATTCACATTGGTCCCTCCCGAGGTGTTTGACGTGTTTCCCGGGCCGTCTTGTGGCTGTTGCACAATTTTGGCCTCCGATGGCCTATTTTCAAGCTTAAGTGTGAAAAAGTACAATTTTGGACTTAGTTTTCAAACCGGGAGTCCCGTGCTAAAATAAATACTAGAGTTTAGCAATGTTGCTTTAGTCTTTATGGCTCAATGATGTGGAGGTTTCCTTTTCTTTTTTGTGGTTCAAAATCTTAGTCAGTTAAATTTCCTAAATAGAATTATGGATTGTTATCTTGTAATTGTCAGCCCCTGTGGCTCTGCTATGTGCATCACATTAATTTCAAGTTCTAAGATTGTTATGTCTCATGCAATCAGAGCCTAAATGCATATGTATTGCAATCTTTCATAATTAGCTACATGAAACATGAATTTATTGTTTTAAACTTGACCATTCATGTTTGGATATATATATATATATATATTTTGTTTGATAAGTAATAATTCATGTTTTGATTTTGCTACTAAAAGAAGAAAGTTCAACTAAAAATCAAACTTACATCATCCAGCAACATACTGTTGCAATACGAACCAATGTAAGATGGAACCTGCATCACATAATGCACATTAGCCATATGCACAGGGGAAAAAAAAAAAAAGAGAGAGAGAGAGAGATAGACTAAAAGCAAACCAAATAAGACTTCTTCCTAAACATTATTAGCAAGCTTAGTGAACTACATGAATCTAGATGTTCTTTAGACTCTTATGAAACAATCAATCTGAGTACCTCCCAAATTCATAAATTCACTAAAGAAAACAAAGTTGCAATGTATATACATATATAATTTAATAAGTAACCAAAAACTAAGAGGGGAATAGGCATCTTTGCTAGGACACTAAAATAGAGTTGAGGCTGCGGAACTCCCACATATATTGATTTATTAGAAATTTTGAGTCAATATATCAAATAACATTCTCGATCCATTAGAAAGAAATACACTCATATGTGACATCAAACATAATTGAGAATATTGTGTATGGTTCTCTGATTTAAAATAAAAAAAGGGCAAAACCATAAAAATGTATACATCTAGAAGTAAATGCACAAACCAAAGATTAAAGCTGACTAAAATAAGCATACCATTGTATCCTGCATTTTCTCAAACAATATTGATTTCACTGGTTCTTTTCCAATCCAACGACAAAGCTCAAGTGTCAATCCTTTAGATGAAGCACGAACATTTTGGTCTTGGTGATCAAAGAGTTCAGGCAGCATCATCAAAATTCTTTTAGGGGGTACTATCTTTGCCCCAAATTCACTAATTAGAAACAAAACAAAATACAGAATTCCCCAAAATCAGCAAAACACAGAAAAATCAACATCACATTCTCTTTTTTTTCAAATGGTAAAATATGCCAAGTGCTAACCTTAAAGCTTGAAACATGACATCAATTGCTGGAACAACTGCTTTAGTAACTTTGTTTTTAATAGCTTTCTCCATTGCATCCTGCAATGAACCTAATTCTCGTAAAGGTACATGCCAGGGGAAACTATGTAAGCAAGAATTCACATGTAGGGCACCTCAACCAAACAAATTCTCACACTGGAATTTTCAGAAAACATTTAAAAATAATTTACAGAATGAAGAACAGACATATAAGAATTAAGATCCAATAAAGATGCAAAGCAATGATAACTATAATATCAAATCGGGTATAAGCAATGTAAGCCAACCAAGTACAGGTAATTAGAGATGCCACTTCTAAAGTTATTAGAACATGATTTTTGTATGCCCACAATAGTCATATCCATAAATGTAAAAGCCAAACCAAGTCTAGTATGTGGAAGAACAACTTAATAAAACAAGCTTCTATTCCACATTTGGATCAGGTCATATTGACAACATAGGTCTTTCTTTACAGAATTCAAAAAAAGTAAACTCCTTTGATTTTGAGCTCCTTGATTAAGATAGAAAGACTAGCAGGTTAACAAATTGTCAAATGACACAAGCTACTCCTCTCTCATTCAACTTCTATGGCAGCTACATTCTCTCTGATTTCAAGCCAAAATAAAGGATTTGGATTTCAATCACATGTCTTGAGCTGCAGCTGAAGAATCAGAATTCCATAACCCCAACCCATAAGCTTTCTAACCCCTTGAATTGCTAATGTAAAACTGATTTCTTTTAAAACCCATCTATAAAGTTCTTTGATACACTAAAACCAACATTACTTGATAGTGCTCCTCTTTTAACAAAACTCACAAAAAACACATCTTAATGATGTATATAAATATTGGCTTGTTAGTATTTTAATATATAGTTAAACATCTAACTTTCTTTCCTCATAAATTTATAATAGTAATTTTTCACATGTATTATGAAGGGAATAGGACTAAATAAAGGTCCAACAAAATCTCACATGTCTCTAGAATGAATGACATGTGTATATATATATATTTCAAAAGAAACTTTAACCAATCAAATAGGCCATATTGAATAGCTTCAGACCATGAAGCATTATAACAGCTCCTATAACATGATTTGGGGATTTCATCAATTTTTATACAATCACATGTTTTAGATTCAACAAACACACTAAAATTTTAGATTCAACAAAATAATTTCTTTTATACATTCAGAACTTAAAACTAATTTTTTAGGTCCTCAATCAAAACTTTATTTTTTCAATTGAAATCTCCAAATCAAAAACACTTTTTTTTTTTTTCAAATCTCCAAATCTTAACCCTAGAACAAATAGGTTCCAAACCTGGTTGAAGGGAGAGAGTTTTCTTCATCGAGTCCCTCCGCGGTGATTTCGTTTCTCTCATCTCTCCGTCGTTCCCCTTCCGGCCGGATTCTTCCCTCTCTGTTGTTTCTTTTATCTGCTTCAGAGAGAGCGTCTCTCTCTCTCTCTCTCTCTCTCAACAAAACTTATCATTTTATTATTCTTTTCAGGAGTAATAAATTTTTTTGGGACAAAATAATTTTTGTCACCAATCACTAATTTTAAGTGCGTTCAATTTTCGTATGGCGCCAAAATATTTGGCTTTTTTTGTGAAGAAAAAATTTTCTTATTAAATAAAAAATTTTATCTAAAAAACTCAACATTTTAAAAGTTATGTTTGGTTTGATTTTTTTATTTTTTTTTTAAATTGTCATTTATGTCTAGTGAATTTTTTTTATTATTTATATTTCGTCAATGTTTTATACTTTTTAGTTGCACATAATTTAAATGTATTTAAAAAGTATTTTAATACAGAATTTTACACAGAAATCCAATCCAAACACTGCTCAATTAATTTATGCACTCACTTCTTCTTCTTCTTTTTTTAAAATTTTGGGTCATTATAGTGGGAAAAAAATAATAGCCTATTTTGTTTTTCATTGCCTCTCAATTTTTCCTCCAAAATTGGTGACAAAATTATTTTCTTACAAAAAGACAAAATTATTGACCACGAAAATAGACTCTCACTAAATGATATCAAAATATTAAAAATTATTAGTGACAAAAATATATTTGTCACTAGTAATTTTGTAATTGGCGACCAATTTTTTCCTCACCAAAAGTCTCAAAATTTTGGCGCCATCCAAAAAAATTAGCGGGAAAATTTTCGATGACAAAAAACTAAAAATAATGACGAAAAATAATTTCGTCACCTAATTTTTTTATTATTTATATCGATTGGTGATGAAATTTTATTTTTCTCTCTAAAAATGGTACATTTGGAGACGAAATATTATTTTCCTCACTAAAAGGTATGTCTTTCGTGGCAAAATTTATTTTCATCATTAGTTTTCATCACCAAAAACTTTTTGTTGTAGTGTATTTTGACACTGCCAATTTTTTTCAAGAAAGGCTCTATACAAACATATAACAGTGGAAACTTAAATAGCTGCAGAGAGGGTCTATTACTGATTGGATGTTAAAACCTAACTACTCATGACTCAGGTAAGCAAGAAGTCAATTGTTCCCAACGAAAATGCAAAAGCTAAATTTTGATCTATGACTCCAGCAATGGTTACAGCTTTTGTTCTCACAGCTAACAAGGGAGTATGTTTATGTAAAACCAATTAGATTGGTTTTCATATCACTGAATTTCCATTTTCTTTCTATTTTTGTTTGGTTCATGGGTCAACTATATTAAGAGACTCCATAGCAATATATATATATATATATATATATATCAATGAAAATATTGAACTGCCTTGTATGATTCCATAGCCAAGCCATTATGTTGACATTGTAAGTGATTTTTGTGATTAGATGCTCTCCCTACTTCTTTGTTATATAAGCATATTGTTTGCTGTAGTTTAGCAAATTTATGCATTAAATTGCAGATTTAGAGCAGCAGTGATTGCTTTCTCTAGGATTTTGCTTGGCCCTTGTAGGTATCATATTAATTTTCTCCAATCCAGTTTGGTGAGAACCTATCTTGTGGAGAAAAGGGAAAAGAAAACAACGCAAAAGAATCTAAATATTTTTCTGTTATTCAAATATATTTTTAAAAATCATTACCAAAAAGATCCATAATCAAGAAATCTAATCAGAGATTCATACACTAATATTTACATCAATAAATTCATATATAGTGGGATTACCTGATCAATGCCAGATTCGGAAGCTGATAGATGCATCTTTCAAGCTTGATCGAACAGAGCAGGGAGAGACATCTCGTCCATCTTCAATTCACCCATTGGTGATGTCATTGTAATTGAAAACCCTAGAAATTGCAAGGGTCATTCGTCGATCCAAACCCTAGGCGCAGATTCAAACCGCAAAATAAGAAGAAATAAAAGAAGATAGAAACAGAGAGCAGAACTTCCAAGAGAGAGTACCTTGAACTCGATCGAAACCCTAGGTGTAGATTCAAACCTGAAAACAAGAAGAAACAAAAAAAGAAACCTGAGAGAGAGAGCGAGCGTACCTTCAATCGAGTTTGAAAGAATTAGGATTGAGAGATTGAGAACAACATGAAGGAGAAAGAGAATGAGATTGAGAGATTCATGCCAATGTGAGACCAAGAGAGAGAGACAAAGCGAGAATGCCAGAGAGGAAGACAACAATCAATGTCTGTGAAGTCTACGGCAAATATAAGGAAACGGTGAAAATAAATAAAAGAAAATAACAAACGGCGACGAAATTTTTTTTTTTTTTTGTAGCCAAACCCTTAATTAACGGCGACTAAGTTTTTTTTTAGTCGCTAAAAGTAGTAATTTGGCGACTTAATATTTTGGTCGCCAATTAATTTTATAAATCCTTCCAAAATTTGAAGAAATGTCTCATTCTAAATATTTTAGTTGTTTGGTGACTAAAAAATTTTTTAGTCATTGAAAACAAATTTTTGACTACCAAACGTTTGGTTGCCAAAGATAAAAAATAATTTTTTTTTATTCGACAACTAAAAAATTTTAGTAGCCAAAACTATATATATAGCAACTAAAAAAAAATTTAGTCGTTGAAAAGAAGTTTTTGGTCGCCAAAGATAAAAAAAACAAAATTTTGTTTTTCATTTGGCAACTAAATTATTTTAGTAGCCAAAACTAATTATACAACAACTAAAAAAAATTTTAGTCGTCAATTGTGACATTTTTAGCGACTAAATTTTTTTTTTGTCGCCAACATTTAGTACACCAGACTAAAAAAAATTAGTAGTTAAATATTATACTTTTACCGACTAATTTAATTTTTTGTCGCCAATTTCACAACTTTTGAAGACTAAATTTTATTTGATCACCAAATTTGATCGCAAAAAGTGTAATTTATTGTAGTGAAACCTCATTAGAGGTTAAGTGTAATTCAACCTTAATAAAAATAATTGTTTTGGGTATATAAAAAATAAGCAGCGTATTGAATTATTTAAATTACATTACTTCTTTATTTTTTTTATATATTTTTTCATAATAAATAAAAACATAAAAAAATATAACTAAAACAAACCAAAATACCACATAAACAACCTCACTTATTAATTACATAATGTTTAATAATAATAACATTTTTTATTTTTTATAAAAAGATTTTTATTATGGAAGAGAAAAGTGAAAGCGTGAAGATCGGCAAAATCGACACGATTACAACTTTTTTTTTGTTTTTTTGGAACCAAACACGATTACAACGTTGAACGCACAATATACTCAAAACCAATCGTTGCTTAAAAAGAGTTTAATAATAATAACATTTTTTATTTTTTATGAAAAGATTTTTATTATGGAAGAGAAAAGTGATGGAAGAGAAAAGTGAAAGCGTGAAGATCGGCAAAATCGACACGATTACAACTTTTTTTTTGTTTTTTTGGAACCAAACACGATTACAACGTTGAACGCACAATATACTCAAAACCAATCGTTGCTTAAAAAGATCTTAAAACGACAACATTTCGGCGATGGGGTTGGAGACAAAAGTTAATTAAACTTTTTGAAAGATTACTCAAAAGAGTATCTCACTTTTCATTCTTTTTTATTGAAACCACAAGTTTAATATGCTGACAAAGACAACCCACATATGATACATTGAAACCTCACAATATGTGCAATAAATGATTAAGGTTTGTTTTGAAAAGTAGGGAAAAAATTAGATTGAAGTATCGATAAATTATAAAATGTGATTTTGTGAATTATTTATTTTTTTTTTTTTATGAATTAAAAAGTTTTATTAAAGTAAAAATTATATAAAAAGGTAATCATTTATATATTTGAGTTTAATTTTTTAGGAATAAAAATAAGTTTCTCAAAATATAAAATTACACATTTGAGCAATTTGTATTATAGAAGTTTTGAATTTTCCCTCATTCTAGAATAAATCTCACATTACGAACAAAAACCTAACACTCTAATGTAACACTCCAATAACGTAATATTTTAATATAACACACTAAAAAATTCATTGGTGTATTTTTCTCAAACGTTACAACGTAATTTTTTAAAAAAAAATTCTTTAGTGTACTTTTTTCAAACGTAACACTCTAATATAACAAATAAATAAATAAGCTTTTTAGTGTACTTTTTCTAAACGTAACACTCCAATTAGTGTAATAGCAAATGTAACACTGCAATGTAATATACTCCAATGTAACACACAAAAATACTAAAAAAATTACTTATTGTACTTTTTGTAATAGTTTGAAATTATACATTTACCTAAAACTTACTAAGGAATATTTGTATTCCTTTTAGAATAGTTTGAAGAATCTCACATTTTTTCTTTTTTAATGTTATATTAGATTGTTACGTTTAGGAAAAGTACACAAAGATTTTTTTTTTGTGTTACGTTTGGGAAAAGTACACCAAAGATTTTTTTTTTTGTGTTACATTAAAATATTACACTAAGGAATTTTTTTGGTGAAGTGTTATATTTAGAAAAAGTACACTAATGAGTTTTTTTGTGTGTTACATTAGAATGCTACACTAAGGAATTTTTGTGTGTCACATTAGAGTGTTACACTAAAGAATTTTTTTAGAATATTATATTAGAGTGTTACATTTGGAAAAAGTATACTAAAAAGTTTTTTTTTTTTTTTTTGTGTGTGTGTTACTTTAGAGTGTTACATTAAGGAGTTTTTGTGTGTGTTACATTAAAGTGTTACACTAAAGAGTTTTTTTAAAGTGTTAGATTAGAGTGTTATGTTTAGAAAAAATACACTAAAGTATTTTTTTTGTGTATTACATTAGAGTGTTACAATAAGGAACTTATGTGCGTGTTACATTAGAGTGTTAAACTAAAGAGTTTTTTTAGAGTGTTATATTGGAGTGTTACGCTTGAAAAAGTACAGTAGTAAGGAGTTTTTTTATGTGTTACATTAGGGTACTGCACTAAATTTTTTTTGAGTGTTACATTGAAGTGTATATTTGAGTGTTACATTGAAGTATTAAAGTTTGAAATTATACATTTGGTGAAAACTTACCAAGTAGTTTTTGTACTCATTTTTGAAATGTTTGAAAAATCTCACATATTTTTAGAATGTTTAAAGAATCTCATATTTTAAGTCTTTTTTGTATTCATTTTGAAATGTTTTCCAAATAAAAAAGATTTTTATATAAAAATTCATCTCAAATTTGATTCTCATATATTATGTACCTTACCTTTCTAGCACCAAAAAATAAGAGAGAGAGAGAGAGAATGAACATAATAGAACTAAAGGTATAACCGTAAAATCTAATTTTTAAATAGTATATTAAATCTACCTTTCCAAAATCAATGAGACTAATTGATCTATAAAAAAATTCTTAAGATTAAATTGATCACTGTTTCTCAAGAAGAGATTTATAGGTAAACTTTTCAAAAAATTAATTTATTGATTTTTTTTTTAAAAAAATGTGCAAAAAAAGTAAATAGGTAATATGATTCAAATAAGCTAATAAGCCAATAAACTAAATTTTTTCTTACTGCTCGAAGTGGCTCTAACCTAGTTGTGGGTGGTTTGTAGATTTTTTTATTATTTATTTTTTTTTTTTGGTGTCCAACACCTTTATTTGCAGCTCAAGATTTCGAATGAGAAGCGATTTCAATTGAATAAGTACAACTAATTGTAAATTATTGTATATTAGTTAAGGTTGAGATTTGTGTAAGTGAGAGTTGAATTTAAGAGGGAAGGACGATCCTAAGTATAGGCATACAGAATCATCTAATGTTCCAAAATTCTATTCACACTACAACAAAAACATATTTTAGTGGCATTATACTAGTGGCATATTTTTAGAAAATGCTACAAAAAATGATATTTAGTGACACGTTTTTGAAAAATGCCACAAAACAACAAACATGAAAGGCTCTAGTGACATTTCAATGAACAAGTGTCACAACACTACAACAAAAACATATTTTAGTGACACCATACTAGTGGCATGTTCTTAAAAAATGTCACAAAAAGAATATTTGGTGGCATTTTTTAGAAAAATGTCATAGAGCCACAAACATACAAGGCTCTAGTGGCATTTCAATTAAAAAAAGTGTCACTTCATTACAACAAAAATGTCACTACAACAAATTTACGCTTCAGTGACATTACACCAGTAGCATGTTTTTAGAAAATGCCACAAAAATAAAAATTGGCATTAAATGTTTTAGAAAAATGCCATAGAGCCACAAAACATATAAGGCTCTAGTGGCATTTCAATAAAGAAATGTCATATCAATTTTATGATATTTTATAAAATAATGATACAAAAAATTATGTTTGTGACATTTACCGACATATGCCACTAAACTTTAGTTGCAATGACATTTTTTAAAAAATGTCAGGACACTAGGTAGGTGCAAATTACTTTTTATGGCACTTAGGTGAAAAGTGTCATAAACAAATATTTTATAGAATTTTGAGAAATGCCACTAAGCCAAAAACTTTCTAAGCTTATAATGACATTTTTGAAAAAACAAAAAATACTAATATATTTTCTAAATTTTTAAAATGCAGTGAATGATTAAAAATAAATGAATTAAACTCAATATACACTACAGGAAAAAGCATATTCGGCGACTAAATTTCCTCATCAAAAAAATTTGGTCGCTGAAAGTATAGCTTTCAGCGACCAAAACAGCACTAGTTGCCAAAAGTAAAGCTTTTTGGCGACTAAACAATTTTAGTAGCCAAAAGTCTACAATTGGTGACTAAAACTAAGTTTGGTCGCTGATTATATGGGTTTTAATGACTAAAAATTTTTTAGTAGCCCAAAGTAAAATTTTTTGGCGACTAAAAAAATTTAGTAGCCAAAAGTCTATAATTGGTGACTAAAAATAAGTTTGGTCGCTGATTATATGGGTTTTACCGACTAAAAAAATTTTAGTAGCCAAAAGTAAAGCTTTTTGGTACCAAAAAAAATTTTAGTAGCCAAAAGTCTACAATTGGTGACTAAAAAATAAGTTTAGTCGCCAAAAGTGGTCATTTTTAGCGCGGGAGAACTAAAATCCTAAGCCGGGAATAAAATTTTTTGGTGACCAAAATTTTGGTAGCTGAAAGTGCATCTTCGGCGACCAAATCCGATTTTGGTCGACAAAAGTTAAGTTTTTTAGCAACTAAAAAATAATTAGTAGCCAAAAATAAAAGTGGTCTTTTTTTATTTTGGTAGTAAATAATTTATTTTA